TTGTCCTTGCCAGCCGAGGCAAGCAGGGCACCGTTGGGCGACCAAGACAAGGTTGTGATATCTCCATTATGACCGTTCTTGAAAACCCTTTGCTTCTCCCAGTCGTTCTTGGAAATGACCTGGATGTCTCTTGTAGGGGTTGGTACGGCAAAGGCGCGGCCATCGGGATGCCAGACCGCCCTTGACGAGGCCTCTGATTCTGTCTCTAGTCTGCCAATGACGCCGTCCACCTTTCGGATGAGCTCGGGGTGTTCGGCCGTGAGGGAGTAGATGTAGATGACGCCGTCGGTACATGACAGGGCGAGAAGGCTTCCCTTGGGATCGAAGGTCAAGTGTTTTGTCGGCTTTCCGTGTTCTTTGAGGGTACGTAGTTGAGTGTTGTCGTTGACTCCTACCAATCTGACTGTAAGCTCGTCGCTGGCCACAGCACACCACTGGTAGTCTGGGGATATGGCAACATCGCGAACTGGCAGAGAGGTTCGTAGGAGGAAACGGTCGAAGGCATTGGTGTCGAGGGAGTACAAGCTGACGGTACCGTCTTCGGAGCCGGCCACAAAGTAGTTGTTGCTGGTGGCAAGGGCAAGGTTCTGTTCCTGGCAGTCGTCGATATTCGTGGGTTCGCCTTCGTAGCCCGTCTTGTAGAGTCGGGTGGTGTTGTTGGACCCGACCGTCACCAGTCTGGTGCCATCGGGGGTGTAGGCGCAGTATGTCGCTCCCGGTGGATGGGCTGGTCGTGACCGTGGTCGAGAGGCGATTAGGGTGGTCATGTTTGGATCTGGTGAGTTTGTTTACTTTGAAACCATTCCCTTCGGTCGCAAAGCATGAAAGGGGAAAAGAGAGAGAAGAGGGGAATGGTAAAGTTGTAAACGGCGTATACTGTGTAAGTTACAAGATGGAAAGACGCGTCGACCGCGTTTTCAATTTACGGCACGCGCTAAGGTGCCTATCAACTTATCGTGCCCCACCATGTCATCCCCCAGCGAGAGGGACCCACTCATTGGGCGCTGAGCTTCCCCGCCAAATGCTGACAGGGGCAGCTCCTCCAGCTCTTGTAGGCTCATCTGTTAAGGATCGCTCCTCTGCTGGGTGCGTTCCTTAACAGCTTCTGAACACCACTCGTCTCTGTAAACTTGGGCCCCTTTTGTCTGGCTGTTGACCTTCGAATCATCTGGAACTTCATCCACTCTCATCATAGGCGGTCACTTACAAATCAAAGGAAGTTGTGGTTTATAAACGAAGAGGTGCAGAAGCCTTTCTTCGAGCTCTCTTATCAGATCCTGCACCAAAGACGCCCAGATCAAACATCCTCCTAGTCATCAGATCAGGCACCAAGATGCAGTCCTCAGACCCACGTCACTTCTTCGAGACCGAGTAAGTAAATAGTCTTTCCCCTGAGAGGGACCCAACCCTAACATACAGTAGTGCGGAGATCGCAAAGAGAGAGAGGAGAGAAGCCAAGACTAGTAACACCTATGGCAACCCCATCAAACTCAAGTCCAAGATCCTCGGGGCCGTTGTTGACCCCCGTGCCCCCTCCTCGGCCATTTTCGTAGCCGAGTCCGCGGGAGCAGTCCGAAGAGTCCAGGTCGATGGCGAGGGAGACACAAGAACAGTCTACCGCGGTCCCACGACACCCGTCAGTTGTGTAGCTGTTGGTGGTCCCGGAAACAAGACCGTCTTTGCCGGTGCCTGGGACAAGAACATTTGGTCCTGGGATATTGACACCAGGGCTCCGGGCCGCAAGTATGCTGGTCACTCCGACTTCGTCAAGGCCATCGTTTGCGCAAAGCTCGGTGGAAAGGACGTTCTGGTTAGTGGTGGTGCCGACAAGAAGATCATTGTTTGGGATGTTGCGACCGGCTCCAAGCTCCATGTGCTGCAAGACAGCGTGGTGAACATGCTCAGCATCCAGGACCTGGTCGTTGACCCTGCTTCGTCGTCGCCGGATGAGTTGTGCATCGTCAGTGCCAGCAGCGACCCGCACATCCGCCGTTGGAAGATTCGTCTAGATGGATGGGAGCAGTTCGCGGAGCCTGACCCTGCTACCCCGGCGGCAGAGCGACATACTATCCTTGTGCACGAGACAACTGTCTACAAGCTTGTCGTTGATCACGACGGTGACGAGGTTGACCTGTGGACCGCGAGTGGTGATGGGACTGCCAAATGCCTCTCGAGGATTAGGGGCTTCACCAGTGACGACATTTTCGAGCACGGCGACCATGTCCGTGCTGTGGCGGTTACAGATCAATGGGTCATCACCGCCGGACGTGACGAAGACCTCAAAATTTGGGACCGGACTTCAGGCAAACTTCACTGCTCTCTAGAGGGCCACTATGATGAAGTGACCGAGCTGGTCATTCTCAGGGGCTCCGCCGGATCAAGCGAGCGCGTTTGCAGTGTCAGCATTGATGGAACCGTCAGGACATGGGCTTTGGACAAGGCTAGCCTGGACGCTGCCGTTGAGGAGCAAAAGAAGCCCATCAAGCCCGCAGAGGAGGAGAAACCCGATGGTGAAGGGCTATTGACGGCTGATGAGGAGGCCGAGCTTGCCGCCCTCATGGAGGATGACGATTAAAGTGGGCCACGACCTATGCAGCATCCCATCGGGGACTCCTGCATGAAAAATGATGAAAGCAGCCGTTTCGATGCTTTCCCGTATCTCGATGCATGACCCTTGGCCGAGTCGGTCACACGTTCATGTCTGGATAGGGGAGATTCTTTCTCGTGAACGGGTACACTGCGTCAGTGGCTTCCAGGACCAGACCTCCAAGGACCCCTTTTTGCGCTCCGTGAGCCCATCGATATGTGGCAGCCATATGCGGTTGCCCGTTCAGCTTCACGGATGCGCGCGCTGTCTGGGGCTATGGTTGGCTCCAAGGAACATGAACAGGCTCTTGTTTGCGCCGCACGGCATCCTGATGTTTCGAAACGAACAGGGTAGACTATGGTCTTTTATAGCCGCTTTTTCATCCATTGTTTGGTTGTCACCGGTGTAAGGCACCCTCAACGCAAAACACACACATCTATGCGGGCAACCGCCACGAGGGAGAATGAAAGAACATCGGATGTTGCCACGTTTACACGCTTTAGGAGGAGGTGAGAAAACGTGGAAAAGGAGTCACATAAAAAATCGGAGGGAGAAAGCTCAGCTGTCTGGTGCAACCAAACCAACAACATGACATATCCACCCACCCACCCACACTGGACCCCTGTGAAGTTAACCCATGAACCTAAGAGTGGACAATGCCACTGTTAAGCGAGAAACAGAAACGATTTGCAATTTTTATACTTGCGAATTTCGGGGACTTGGTCTCTGGCTCCGATCACGTTCATTAGCCAGTGAGATGAGCGTAGTCAGCAGGCATACTGCACAGTGAAAGGCATCGCCAACAGAGGAAAGCTTCTGAGGGCAGACGGCTAGATTCACCTTGCTTGCCTCGCTAATTCCCAAGTCAATTACCCCAGGCCGATCCTTCTGAACACAGTATGGGGTACCTACAGCTT